TGCCCAGTCCACTCAGCCAGGACGGACCCTCTCAAGCTCGCTTTAAGGTGGGCGTTCTGAGTCCTCCTCCAAGCGCTCACCTGGCTGGAGCGCTGCACAAAAGGGCAGGCATCAGCTCCATAAAGCCTGGAGGTGACCTCCCCTCCTCCTCCACCTTCCCTTGTTTGATTTTTTTTTTTTTTCTGGACAGAGAGAATCACACAGTCTGTTTATATTTCCCTAACCCGGGCAGGCGAGGAGAGGGACATATGGGCATTTGCGCTCTGCATCTGTGTCCTCAGTCATGGTTTCTGTGGATGCATGCGCGCGCGAGTGTGTGTGTGTGTGTGTGTGTGTGTGCGTGTGTGTGTGTTCGGGACCAGGCTCTGGGAACAAGCGTGCATCTGTTAAAGCTGACAATAAAGTCCTAAAGTAAAGCTGCCAAGATTGGGGCGTGAGGTGGGGGCGGAAGACAGAGGGTGGAGGAGAGCTGGAATCTCAAAGGCCAGGCTGGAGCGCAGGCGCCAGGTATTATGTCAGGAGAAGGTGAGGAGAGCAGCTGCTCCTTCTCGCGGGGTGTGTGTGGGAGCGAGGGTTCGCGTGCGCCTGAGAGGAGTACACACGAGCTGCTCGACATATGTCGCCACAAATCACAGTCTCTGTCCCTCCTCCCTCCCCCACTCCCCGCGCAGCTCCTGACCCAGCGCAGAGCTGGAGAAGGCGCTGAGAAGAGGCGCCGGCTCAACAGGTGTCTGGGTGCGCAAGGCACCTTTTCACGCATTGACAGGCGCTGCCGGCGGCAGCAATAATGTGGACACTTTGTTTCCCGGCTCTGCGCGCGAGCTGCGGGAGCCCGGGGGAGGCGGCTCCAGGCAGAGAGGGGGCTCTGGAAATAAAGACCTCGGGTGCTCCGGAGTGTCCCAGACCCTCTTCTCCCTTTGTTCGAGGACTCCCTGGGCCGAAGCTCCCTCGTGCGCTCTGTGGGGTAGCATATGGCGCCCTCTCACCTACCCAAGAAAAGGAACCAGCCACCCATTCAAGAGCGCACGAGCTCCCAGGGCCCCCGGAGGGGGGAGTCACTAAGGGAATGGCCCCTCTCCTAAAGCCTGTGAGCAGCTCGCCTTATCTGTCCCCACCCAGCCTTCACCACGCTCTCAGCTGGCGCAGCAGCCGTTGGGTGGGGAGCAATGCGCTGGGCAGCAGCAGCCAGCGGAAGCGCCCCAGCTCCTGGCAGATGAAATATGGGGTTGGTGAGCCCCTGGAGACCATATGCTTTCAATAAAAGAAGACAAATAGGATCGAGATAGGCCTTGCAGCCAACCTGTTATAAATGAGTGGCAACTGGGCCAATGTACACGGGGGCAGGGCCCCCAGGGGGGAGGCCCGCTCAGTGCCAAATCCATGTGTCAGCTTCTAGGACAGGTGTGCCCAGGGGCCAGGGGCCAGGTCTCCCCCCTCTGGGTTTATCACGGCAAAGGTAATATTGTGCTAACTATGAGTAAACAGTCATTGTGAAGACCAAGGAGAGTTTATCAGAGGCGAACTAGTTGGGGGGTGGCTTAACAATAAAGTTGCTCTGCTTAGGAGCAGGTGATGGCTGGCTGCGCTGACTCCGCCAGAGATGTTTTCCAAAGCAGCCCGCTTTACAATCTCTTGTAATTATTTATTAAACGAAATCTATTTATTATTATTTTAGCAAACACTGGAGACAGGTGGGGCTTTCTTTTCGTCGTCTCCTTTTGTTTGAAGGGCTGTTTGAAGTGGCCAGTCTCGGTCTCGGCAGCCTCGCTCGCCAGATTTTTGTCTTCTTCTCTTTCAGGGCCAAAGCGAAGGCAAGAGAAAGAAGCCCCCTTCTCTGGCAAGCCATTAGCTATTCAGCTTCCCGTGGGGGCTCCCTCCTTGCTCAATCCTCAAAGAGCCCCCAGGCAATGCGAGCATTACCCACGCCTCAGGCGCTAGGGCCAGACGCTGCCTAACCCTCTATATCCGTCTCCTCACCATCTCCAGGCATCTGGCTGTTACCTCTGTCTTAGGAGCCCTCAGGCTTCCAGGCAAGCCTGGGTCTTACAAGGTGGAGGGACACAGGGATTCAGGAAGCCGCAGAGGTTGTGGATGGACGATTCCTCGCTGTAAAAACAGGCTGTGCTCGGGGGGCAGAGGGCTTCTTTACAAACGTAATTGGCGCGCACTGCGCTGTCAGCTGCGCCACCGCTTCCACCTCCAAAAGTTGAGGATTAACTTTGGAGAGGGGTCTGTGCATCCCCTGCAGCTGAGAGAGGGGTCGGGGTGATGGATCCTTAACCTCTAAACTTCTAAGACTCCTGGGCATTCAACTTGGCCTCCTAGCTAAATGAAGAATGGCAGGGAGTTTGGGCATTGCTCGGGTGCGCTGCCTCGTCGCTGTGCGCTCCTTATTCAGAATGCTTTTTGCGCAAAGCGGCTGCAGTCTGTCTACAATCCCAGAAGGGCCCGGAGCCTAACAGATGTTGGGAAGCCTGCACAAGAATTCCAAAAGGGGCTCTGTCTATCAAGAAATTTCCACAAGAACCCCCGGGATTCTCTTTGGCACGAGGAGCTCTGCGTTCTAGCCAGAGCCCATTAGACTCATTAGACCCAGCCAGGGCGAGTGCCATCTCCATTTAAACAAGGGAGAGATGAGAACCACAGATGCAGCTGCTCTTCTGAGACCCTTTGGGACCCTTGCAACCTGTCCACACCCCACCCCCACTCCAAGGAGCCTGCTTGGGGTCTCAGGACCCTAGGGATGCCTTTTTAAGTTGCTTTCCCAGTTTCTACTTTTCAGGGAAATAATTTAAGCAAAGCTTTGGTCTGAAACAGAAAAATCAGAAAAGCCGACCATGTCTGGTGCTGGCTTCCTTTTGCTAGGAGGATGAACCATTATTTTGCACTAATCTGATGCTTACAGTTTTCACAGACTCAGAACATCCTCTGTTCTCTGCCCTTTGGTTCTCTCGTTCTTCCCCAAACCAAACCATAGAGTACAAGGAGGGAATCTAGGACTGAGAGACTTAGGCTCTGAATTCTTCAGGGTTCTCATAGTGACCTTGGCAAGTCACTCCCTTCTGGGGGCTTGGCTTTTCCATCTGTAAAAGGGGCTTAAGTCCCCATTCCTGGGACCAGAAGACAAGCCTGAAGGAAGACCTGCAGCAGAAGGCAGAACCGAGAACCCTGCGCACAGGAAGGTCTAACCTTGCCTCCAAATTCAGTTTCTTGCAGTAGGAGTCGGAATTTCCCCCTCACTCAGGATCATATAGAAGTCCATAGGAATAGCACCACCCTACCCAATCCTACAACCCCCTCCTGCTGACCACCGAGTCAACCACCCTCTGCCTAGGCGAGTCTGTGCTGCTCCCTCCTCTCCCTGCAGGAAGCCAGTGGCCATCACTAGAGCCAAGCCACAGACCTACCTCGACCCTGACCACATCCCCTTAATCTCCCAGCCAGGGCATGGCCCCTTCTGCAATTACCGGGGACTTCAGAGGAAGAGGACACACTAGAAAGCACAGTTATTGCTTAGTCTCTCATCTTCCAGCCTCGGCTTCCTCCCGCGCATCCCGCACTAGAAAGAAAAGAGGGAGAGCAGCGGAAGCCACGACCCCTCACCCTGAGTGACCGGAAACAGAAGACCACGGGGTGTCCGAGGCGGGGACAAGAGGGGCGGGTCTGCAGGGAAGAAAGGGCAGACGGTGTCTTCAGACCCACGGGAAAGATTTCCAGATAGCTTTAAGAGGGGCAAACCAGAGGCGTGGAGAACTCCTGCCCTGGGCTCACTCACAGTTCGGGAGTGGTGCGGGGGTGGGGTGGGGGTGGGGGCAGCGGGACTAGGGGACACCGTCGGCCCTCTCTGGTCTGTGATTGGACAGGAGGACTAAAGGGGACAGAAAGCGCATCCTCTTTCTGTCTGCGCACCATGGCATTGAAAAGACAAAAGGGCTGGCCGAGAGCAAGACCGTCCTCGACCTCTTCCCATCACCTGCCTCTGGGGTCAGGCCTTCTTGATACTGTCCAAGGAGGAGTGGCCCCTCTGCCCTCCCTCCACAACCACCCTCTCCTTGGGATGGAATCCACTGTCTCAGATAAGGAGTACGCTGGGAGGGGAGTTCTTAAGGTCCCGTCTAGGAGTTGGGAGCAACATCTCAGGCACGCCACCCAGCGATGCTCTCCCAGTAGAAACGACCTGAGCAGGACCTTCTCCAGTCATTCTGTCCTCCCTGCTGGAACGGAGAAAGTCTGTGAAAACGTGGCAGCACACACATTTCCTAACCCAACGCACAGTGCCAGAGTGCTGGATGGCCCTTAGAGCTAACGGGCGCTCCTCTCGGCCGCCAGTCAAGACCCTTGACTGCTAGGCGGCTGGTTGATTCAGCCAAGCCGCCCCCGTCTCTGAGCCCGGAGTCCCCAAGTGGAATACTCATAAAAGAGGCCTTCCCTACGGACACCCCCAAACCTCCTCCAGGCTACCGAGAGACAGTCTGGACAGATGCCAGGGAGAAAGAGGAAAAGGTAAGGCTGTCCGCGGCTGCCAGCCCCGAGCCAGACGGGACTCCTCTGGCTGGGCGAGGCTCTTTGAGGGACCCAGAGTTGCTGGGACCCGGCCCGCGTTGGGGGAGGCGGGGGTGGGGAGGGGTGGGAGCAAACAGAGGGCTGCTCCCCTCCCCCGACCCCTGCGCTTTGTCCGGAATCCAGCTGTGCTCCGCGGGCGGGGACCTGGGGGAAGCAGGCTCGTGTGGCGCGGCCACTGGGCCTCCCGCTGCTGATTGGCCCGGGGCGCAGGCCGCAGCGGGGCAGGCACGCTCCTGGCCCGGGCCGAGCAGATAAAGCGTGCCAGGGGGCACACGACTCGCAGCTCAGGAACTCCCCCCCACCCCCGGGTCTCGGCAGAGGCGGAGGCTCCCTCGGCGCTTCTCCTCGGCTTCAGCACGCAACTAGCTCCAGGCGAGGGCGCCTGCAGCTCGGCAGAGTTTCGGGGCGAGCAGAGGCGCTCGGCTGCCCGCGGCTGCCCACCTCTCACCGCCCCGCCGCTCTCTGCTCTCCTGCGCCCGGAGGACTAGGTAACAATTAGAAGCCACCACGAGAGCAGGAGGGGTGTACCCCGACCCCGCGCGGGGTGGTCAGAGGCCGTCTCACACTGACCCCCCCATTTTTTCCCAGCCGTAGGATGGCGCCTCATCCCTTGGGTGCGCCCACCACCCTAGCGCCCCGAGAGACCCAGCAGCCTTTCCCCGGAGCCTCGGACAGTGACGTGCTCAGCCCCAAGTCCAGCACCCCACCCAGCCCCGCCCTCATCCAGAGGGACTGCTCCGACACTGAAGCGGGTGACTGCCAAGGGAGCTCGAGGAAGCTTCGCGCCCGGCGCGGAGGGCGCAGCCGACCCAAGAGCGAGTTGGCACTGAGCAAGCAGCGGCGGAGCCGGCGCAAGAAGGCCAACGACCGGGAGCGCAACCGCATGCACAACCTGAACTCCGCGCTGGACGCCTTGCGTGGTGTTTTGCCCACCTTCCCGGATGACGCCAAACTTACAAAGATCGAGACCCTGCGCTTCGCCCACAACTACATCTGGGCGCTGACTCAGACGCTGCGCATAGCGGACCACAGCTTCCACGGGCCGGAGGCCTCCGGGCCCTGTGGGGAGCTGGGCAGCCCAGGAGGCGGCTCCTATGGGGACTGGGGCTCCATCTACTCCCCGGTTTCCCAGGCGGGCAGCCTGAGCCCCACTGCCTCGCTGGAAGAGTTCCCTGGCCTGCAGGCGTCCGGCTCCCCCTCCTGTCTGCTCCCGGGCGCCCTGCTGTTCTCGGACTTCTTGTGAAGAGACCTGTCTGGCTCTGGGTGGCCGGTGCTGGCCGGGAAGGGAGGGAGCCGGGGCGGGCCGAGGCGGGAGGCAGTGGAGGCGCTCGAGCTTCCCTGCTCCTGCCGGTTCGCGCTAGCGGGGGTCGCTGGCCCGCTCACTGGGCTTAACCGGGCTTCACGGCACTCTGGCTGCTGCCCAGGCACAGCGGGCATTGCGGGCTGCGGTCTTCTTAACCCTCCTCGGTGCGGCCACTTCACACCCCCACCGCAGGCAGAGGAGAGCGGTCTCTGCACAGTTGGAGACTCCCGCTCTTCCTGAGGACCCTGCCCTCTTCAAAGCTGCCAGCCTCCAGCCGGCCTCTTCTCCAGGGTGACCTAATCCAGCGCTGGGTCTGACAACACCGGCTCTCCCACCCGGCTTTGGCTCCGTAAACAACGCTCATCCTCTCTACTGCCCACCGAGCCCAGGGGTTCCAGGCCGCTCTGTTTTCTGCCTTAAACCACGAAGGTGATCTTCTGCCTTCTCTTTTCTGCACTTTTCGAGTCTTTACCCTCCCCCGAGGGGAGACCGGGCTGTGAACGGGGGGAAAGCCCTCGCCTGCGGAGCTTGGCTCCGGTGTCTGAAATGTGACATGCAGGGACAAGTTCCTGGAGCACTGCTCGTCTCCCTAAAGAGGAAAAAAAATCAGTTTGTAAATGATGTAATGCCTTTTGAAATTAATTTCGTTATGGTAAATTATATGCCTCCTCCGCCCTTTTACACATTTGTATTTATTGATGCTATTTCGTAGTAGGGAAGTTTATATTCTGTACATAAGAGTATCAGGGACTGGTGATTGAGATTGTTGAGCTAACCAATAAAAGTGGACCTTCTGGAATCTTCAGCAAAGCGACTCCATTGTGCCGAGAGGGGAAGAGGGTGGAAGCCACTGTTGGGAGAAGTAAAGCAATTCTACCTGTAGGAGTGAGGTGAGGATTTTCTAGGGGTCTGGAACCTCCACCTGGGCTGAAGGTGGGGCAGATAGTTGACAGAGAATAGGAGCTCTCTTAAGAAATCATTAGTCTGGGGCTCTTGTTTTCTCCGTGGGACAGAAGTTTAGAAGAAAGGCAAATCTCTAACTGGGCCTAGTAATTTTATAAGCTACACACACACACACACACACACACACACACACACACACACACACCTGCCTGGAATTAAAGCTGCACTGCCCTTAGGAAAGGGTGAAAGTGGTAACTTATGGTTAAACAGGAACACCACCCCCGGGAATCCCTCCTCTAAGGTATTTAGACACCCAGCATGACTCCACCCCTAAGGCACATTTTACTGACCTTGTTTTAAGCAGTATAGCAGAGAAGGTAGAGGCTCCAGCAGAGAGCTCTATAGCCCTAGAAACTAACACCTTGACTGAAGGTGTATCCACTCACAAAGCTCCCTGGCTTTGCAGCCCAGTGAGCTCTCCAGCTCTCTAGGTGGCTGGAGACTGGCTCTCGGTAGCACTGAAAGCTGTCTGGAAGATGCTAGCAGAGAACTGAAGCATGACGTTCATTGTCCCAGAGAAGCTGCACTGAGCTATAAGAAAACGGCGCAGCTTGTCTCTTGGGACCAAGATAACAGAAGGCAGATACCCAGAGACCCACCCAAAAGAGGAGGAAAAGGAACCCACCCAGGTGGGTTGCTGCCAGTGACCCTGATGTGTGTGTTGGTTGCTTCTGTCCTGGAACACACAGGTGGCAGGTTCTCAGGCTCTGACGCTAATGCCTCTTGTGTCTGTCTTTCTCTTCCATGCCCTCCCCCCTCAATCTGAGCGTTTCCTCTATTTCCAAGTCCCAAAAGGAAGCTCTGATGAGCTGTCTTCCTTATCAAGGACATGAGTTTCAGGGGCCAGGAAGGGGAACACTGCAAACAACTGAATGAACAGAGCGCTGTTTCAGTTGGTGGCTTTAATCTGGGAGGGGGAGATTAATGGGTTATTGGAAACCTCAGCAACAGCCAACTTTCCACCTGGGGCATTGCCCAAAGGCAGGTGTTAACAGCTCTGGGCTGCACAGACCAAGCCTGCTAGGTGTTGGGCACTGGGGGGAGGGGTAGAAGCAGATCTTTGAAAAGCAGGAAGGTTCCCTGCCTCCTGAATAGCATGGATATAGACAAAAATCACTCAAGACCAAAGTAACTTTGTTGCTACATGAGATAGCAACAAGTGAGAGTTACCGGGGCCAGGACTGCAGACGGAGGTCCTTGGAGGAGACAGCAGCGGAATTAAAAATATGGAGAATTGAAGCAGAAAGATCCCTTTTCCTGTGCCAGACTGTGAAAAGTAGTGTTTCCCTAGGGTGAGTGGGAGGTCCATTGGTGCACGTGACTGTCTGAAGCCAGAGAGTATCAGGACAGTGGAGGAGACAGGTGAACCCACTGCCCAGGCCTCTCCCAGGTTTTCCAAGCACAGACAGACTCATCTTCTGCCCCATGATTTCACACATGTACGGTGTAACCGTCCTGGCTCAGCTGCTACCTAGAGTTAGGGGTCCATTTGACTCCAGAGCTATCCAACCTATTCTCCAAATCAAGAGGAGGTGGGTAAAAATTTAAGGTTTGATTTGAATTCTTGCAAAACTTAGGGTTCCTGGTTTGGATAGCCACATCGGTGTGTGCAGAATTCTTGGAAAAACGGGAGTGGTGAATCTAACTGCAGCTACAGCACTCCCCTGCCTCCTACTGCTCTGGGCATCTGATGCTGTGCAGCCTTTAAAGCTCAGTGTATCTGCTGGGAGCTCCTTTTGGCTGGCCTTCTTTGGTTGGTCCTGTGGTCTGGGGTCACCATCAGTGCCCAGCTCCCAGAAACGCTGACAAGATCCCAAGTCCTGTCAGGAAAAGCTCTTGCGTAGAGTGACTTTTCCTTCTCTCCAGCTTTTGTCAGAGCCCAAGCATAGCTCCCAGAACAGCACATGAATCTTGGGCTCAACCCCGCCCCCTAACCCCTTCAGTACACACAAGCAGGTAGATTTATGGTGCCCTGCCCCCACCCCACCGCTCCCCTCCATCCCCAGCCTGCCTTGATGGAGGACAAAGCAACCCAGAGCTGTCGGAATGCTAATGTCCAGGAGCCAGGCCACTGGGCTGGCACAAAAGCAGGCAGGGCTGTGAGCAACCTTCTTTCCCCTTTGGGCTATGGGGCTGTGTGACCTTGGACAAGTCTCCAAGCCTCCACTAAATCAAAGCAGAAGTTACAGACAGTTTCTAAAAACCCATTCACTAGATTTCTGGGAGCTTAAGAAGTGGCTGTACTTACAAAGAGTGAAGTTACAGGTCCCGTCACCCCACTTCCACCAGAAATGGTGTGAAGCACCCTTAAGTTCCTAGCACCAATGTCAGTGTGGGGAGGCTTGGGGTGAGGTAGTTTGCAGAATAAGCACCAAATATAATTACATTTATGTGATTTTTCTCTTTTGAGTTCTTCCTCTCCACTATACCCAAACCTTCAAAATTCTGGCAAATCAGGAAAAGCAGGAGCTGGAATTTGCTGACCTGCCTCCCCCACCTTCAAGGGGCCAGATGCAGAGACAGATTGTAGGTGGTCTGGGGCCAGGTACCCATCTCAGGTACCCTCTTAATACCAAAGTGCAGGGCAAGATGAATGACCTCACTCACGTGAGCATGGATCCCAGAAGGCCGGTAGTCATTTGGTGACTATGGGAGAAGCCAGACCTGAGACCTTGGCTCTACTGTAGTGGTTTGGTGCTCTTCACTCTGTGTCCTTAAAAGAGGAGCCAGGGTGAGGGAGTGAGCAGTTGAGCATCTCTGTACTCCAGCCATTTCCCTGGGGCTCCAGTAAGGCCCAGAGGCTCCCTTGTGCTTTGCTGCGCCCAGTTTCTAGGACTCCTGGCTATTTTCCAGCCCTGACCATTCCTTCTACTTCTGAGATGCCTGGTCCAAGGAGGACTGCGGAAGCGTCACTGCCTGGGTAACTTCCTCTAGCCACTCCTTAGATCCTGAAGCCGGAAGCGTGCCCCTGACCATGGTGCTGAAACAGCCACGTTGTCCGGGCACAAAAGATGCTTCCGGGCAAGTCCTGTTCTCAGCGCAGAAAACTGTCTGCCTGCCCCCTTCAGTTCATGCTTCCAGAGTGGATTCGTAGGGACATAGGACTGCCAGGTTTCCATTAGTGGGTATGGGCCTCTGTTGCTACTGGCTGATTGGCTAGCAATCTCTCTCACTCTCTCTCTCTCACTCTCTCATATCCCTCAAAATTAGAAGCTAGAATTGAGCAACATGTTCAGAAAATTCCAACAGCGTCTAAGAAGTCGGGAAGAACAATGTTGCAAGTTTGGCCTAGGGAAATCCTAGATGGTAGACGTTTCCTTCAGTATGTGTTTTATCTTTGAGTTTCAATGACGTTTTAATGATTCCAAAGACAAGAATAAAGGGAAGTCTACCAAATGCAGATGCAGAGTGGAAGAGACGTGGCAAGCAACTGCTTTAGATTCCAATACATGAGTGCAAATCCTGCTGCCAATAATAGTGGTTTTGCATTAAAGCCCCCTTCTTGAAGCTAATTTTCCTCATCCATGAAGCTGAGAAAATGACTAATAACCACATAACCTAACTCAACTCCCCTCCTCCAACCTGCACACTCCGTGATCTTGCACCAGTCAGAGTCCTACCCAATATGCAGAATAACCTTGCCACGTTCCTGTTAAAAATCTTCTAGTGGCCTCCAACGATCATGACAGAAAGCTCACATTCCAACATTGAAGGGTGAGGTGATGGGAACAGATGTGAGCCTGAGTCTGGCTCCCAGCTGGTTTATTATCAGTATGAACACGAGCCAGTTTCTCAGCCTTTCTCTCAGTTTCTTTACCCAGAAAGTTGGGACTAGTAACATTACCTTTTAGGGTTAAGATTAGGGCAAAGGTGTGAGAGAAACTCAGCAGTGATGCCCAGAGTTAGGCATTCCTGGTGAGGGGATAGTTCTGCTCCTGCCACCATTCATGGACTCCGTCCAACTTTATCTTTCAGCAGTTCTTAGGTACTTACCAACCAAAAGACTGAGGCTACAACATCATGGGTCCTGCCAGCAGGAAGGAAAATAAAGTGCAGACCAGGCTCACCCACAGCCTTCACACTTCAATCGTGAGGCATTGCACAGAGCTTACCTCCTTCCACTAGGAGAGCATGACAAAGTTTGACTAGCTGGACGAGAGGCTGTACTCGGCTTGAAGAATTGAAGAGCTGCTTCTGGGTGGAGGTCAGGACTGAGATGGATTCATTATTAGATTTATCATCCTAGAACATGTACACTTACGGCTAGACAGCTAACACACATCTATTTTCAAATGTACGATGAACATGATCACTAACATGATAGCTGGAATTCTGTACCCTTTGAGTAACATCTTCCTACCTCCTTCCTGCTCTTATTATTTTTAGTCTTATGTATATAGGTATTTCACACATATATATATATGAGTACCATGTGCATGTCTGAGATCCATAGAGTCCAGAAGAAGGTGCCAGATTTCCTGGAACTGGAGTTACAGACAGTTGTAAACCACCATGAGGGTGCTGGGAATTGAACTTGGGTCCTCTGGAAGAGAAGTCCGTGCCCTTGGCTGCTGAGAAATCTCTCTGGCCCCCTCATTCTCTTTCCACAGTGCCTTGCCTTCACATCCAGAAATGCTGAACTGTCAGAGTTTTTCATTGACACACATAGACGTTCTGCCCAAATCCTGTCTCCTTTTCCCATTCCCCAAACCTGCAGTGTGGAAA